CTTTGTTTGTCTCCAGCGGCTGACCTACTTGTTCCCATATAAATTGATTTTATTCTTTTCTTTTGGAGGGGGGCTGAACGTGAGAAGAAGAAGAGGAGGCTGGAGTGGTCTTAAGCCGCCAATCTAGCCCTTTTGGGCGTTATTCTTCCCCATTCTCCATAGTTTTGTTTCTGTAAGGCATTATTATGTGTAACTAAATTACTTTTCCAGTTGAAAGATATAAAAACCTTGGTTCTTAATAGTTCTGAGATCTAAATATTTTTCATTTCTCAATTCTTTGTAAGTATTTGCTTGTTCTTTTGAATGATTGATACAAAGATTTTGGATTCATGAATAGCTGGTAGCATTCATTATTTCATGATAGTTAAAAATCAATAAGGCAGCAAGGTTTGTTGTTTTAAAAGGGACTGATATAATTAAATTACTTGGTAAATGATTTTGTTATGTTATAAGAACAAGTAATCTGGTTTTTTATTAAACAAGGTTTGTTTCATAAGAATCAGAATTGGGTCTTTGTACTTAATGCAGTCGTTTTCTTAATCTTAGGAGGTTCCAGGATTGAATTTCGACTAGTGTGTTTAATGAAGGTTTTCTTAATCACTAAACTTAGTTCAAGATTGAGTTGTTAGGAGGTTCCAACAACGAAAACTAATTTGCCTATAAGTGATTGAGTATATCATTGCATCTATGATCAATTGTCTAGACCAAGGTGGATATAAAATCTTTTGACTAGAAACTTTCTCATAATTTGCTTTCATTTTTTTTAACTATCATTTGAATTTTATTTTAACTACATTTTAGTTTTAAAAACTCAAAACCCTCCCTTTCAGTTACTTCTTTGAAAGAAACGAATCCACCATTCCCTGAGGAGACGACCTTGCTTTCCTATGCTACTAGTTTGAAAGTTGGTTAAATTGTTTGTTGGCTTGACACCCCACCAAAATCCTAGTATCAAAAAATTTGGTGGGTTGTCAAACCAACAAAAATAAAAGAACCCACTCCTAAGAAATTTAGTAGTATAGCAATGAGTAGGGTCGTCTCCTCAGGGAGCAAGGAAATGAAAATATTTCTAATCAAAAGTAAAGTAACCAACTGACCAAAAAAGAGGATTATAACTAATGGATGACAAAAAATAACTGGCGAACAATAAAAGATAGCTTTGGAAATCAATAATAAGAGAAACTCTAGTCAAAGGAATAATTTCCACTTGATGTATCCAACTGACCATTGATGCAAAGATTAACTCAACAAATCATGAATGTATTAGTTATCGTTGTTGGAACCTCCTAACAACTCAATCTTTTTTATTAATTACCAGCAATTAAGAAACCTTCATTAACCACTCTATAGCCAAAAACACTACTTGGAACCTCCTAGGATTCAGTTTTCGACAAACAAAGACCCAACTCAATTTCTAACGAACAAACCTTGTTTCATTAAAAATTGATTATTTATTCTCACAACACAAGTAAACTACTTACCAAGTAATTATTTGCATTGTCTCTTCTAAGGAACAAACAAACCTTGTTGTTCAATAAATTAGATTATTTAGGAGAATTGAATGCTACCAGCTATTCAAATAATGCCAAATAATCATCAATACACATCAAAGAGAATAAATAAATACTCAAAATTTGTTGGTGAAAAGCAAACTGTTAGATCTCACAATTGAATAACATCAAGGGTTCAATAAAATCTTTCAACTAGAAAAGAGGTTTAGCTATAAATGAAATGGAATAGGAGTAATATCACGCATATCGTGAAACAAATTAAGAGAACCAGTGATATGACAAGTAGCGCCCGAGTCATACATCCACCTGTGAGACATAGGCTTACCGGAAAGCTTATCAGTCGACCCAGATTTGGCCGAATTCAAAAAAGAGAGCAAAGTTGTCCCTTGATCATGAGATAAACCGATTTGCTCAAAAGAACCAAAAACAGCTGGTTGAACGGAAGGAAGTGCTGCAGCCGGTTGAACCAGAGAATTGGCTGCTGCCGGTTGAATCAAGGTATGAGCAGCAGTGGCTGGAACCAGTCCACTAGACCCAAAAACAGAACCGAGTGAAGAATTGTTGACCTGGTTTCCACCTCCTGACCCACGACCACGCCCGCGTCCAGTACTGCTCCGGAGAGTGCTCCAATTGGCCGGATAACCCTGGAGCTGATAGCACTCGTTGACGATGTGATTGGGCTTGTGGCAATGGGAGCAGACAACCCTTTCACGAGAGCCACGACCTTTGGAAGTGGAATTAACTGCGGTGGCAAGGGCAACCAAATCCTGGCTGGAAATTGTAGTATTCTGGGAGCCACCAATGCTGCCGGCTGTGATAGAGAAGCTCATCATCTCCCCAGGGAGCTCCTTCTGCGGATTGGAACGGAGCTTTTCCTTCTGTATCACAAGGGCATATGCACGAGCGAGATTCGATAGTGGCTGCGTGGACAGAATTTGGGATCAGACAACGCCATAGAAGTCGGCGTTCAAGTCCATCAGGAACTGGTATAAACGCTCTGTTTCCCGGTGAAGCTCCAGCACCTCCGCCATCTGCACTTGACACGGAGCACACAAAGCATCAACGAATGGCCAATCAGAATAACCAATGTCGTCCCAAATCTTTTGTAGTTGACCATAGTACGACTCAACCGACGAAGAACGTTACATGTATTCAGCCAATGGGACCTTCAATTGCTGCACCCGAGAGCCAATAACAACGGAAAAACATTGCTCAAGGTGATCCCATAAGTCGGCGGCCACCTCCTTTTGTGGAATCATTGACCGAATTAAGGGATCAATTACGTTAAGAATCCATGAACTAATTAAGGACTAAATAGTCCACAAATCTTCCACGTTCGAAGCTTTCTTCGGCTTTTTGAGTGAACGATCAACAAAACCGAATTTCTTGCGAGCTCGAAGCCCCATACGCACGGCCTTGGACCATTCATCATAATTGAATTTCTTGCGAGCCCAAAGCCCCGTACGCATGTCCAGAACTGTCATTGGACGTCAAATCATAAGGAGAGATAGTTTTATGAGGCTCAATTTCATCATCGGACGAAGAAGGGGGGTCACTCTTCCCAGACTTGGCTGTTGCAGATGATCAGAGTTAGAAGAAAAAAAAAACAACCAGCTCGATACCATGAAGAAGATGAAGGGGTGGCTAGCATTAATCATCAACCGAAAATCATTATTTATCTGATTAGGGTTTAGTACAACATATATATATGTATATATATATATATATATATATATATATATATATACTAGTCTAGGCCGTAACTAAGTAAACCTAAACAGTAAACATGTAAACTAATATTTACATCCGTAGTAGGATTTAAAGATCCATTTGCAAATTTGAATACAAACTTCTGTGGGCGTAATTAAACCGAACCATGTATAAACTATAAACTTGATACCTTTCAAGAAGACGAAGGGAGAGATAGTTTGGGTTGGTGGCTTGGGTAACTTTCGTGCTTTAAATTTTTCTCAAAAAGATTCTAAATTTTTAACAAGAACAATCGAAATATGTCTTTGAAAATAATGGACTAGGATATTTACACAGACAAGCGTATAGTTATTGAACACTCCATATGAGTTTTTGTTTATTCTTTTTATAAATTTTGAAAACACAGTGAGATACAAGGTCCTAACTCTATCCATATCTCCCTAAAAAGAGCTCTAATAATTTGGGTGGGATATTTCATGGGATAATAGAGAGATTATGAGTTTCTTTTTCCCTCTTCTTTAATTTGTGGATTTGAGTAGTCAGTTGAAAATCGAAAAAGAGATTGAGCCCGGATTTAGTTATTAATTGTTATCATGTTATCTTTTATCTATTGAATTTGGCATCCGCGATTAGTATGGCAGGTGCTGAGGATTTCGAAAACTAATGTTATCTAGTCAATTTTATTGCTATCAAGTACAGTAGAACGTCGGTAAATTAATAATATATAAATTAATAACTTATAGCAATTAATAATTTTCTCCGATCTTAACTTGGAACCAGTACAAAAAGTGAAAAAAATTCGATGAAATGATAAGATAATAATGTTTCAAAAAATCTCCTATATATCTATAGGTCTCAACAATATTATAAATTAATAAATACACTAATAACAAAAAAATAATAAATATTATAAATATCTTGTAAAATATTAATTGTTAGTACTTGTTTTTTAATCCTTGGAGATGATATGGACTATCTATAGATTTTTAGTGTTTAGAATAGTTCTAATACCTTATTGATTCCGATGTAAAGATAACTGCAAATTAAGTAATTTAGTGGCAATTCTATTTTCTCATACAAATTCTTTAAATTAATAATTTATTAATTTATTGATTATTTAATAATTCATTAAATTAATAAATTTTGGTGATCCCAATACTATTATTTTATAGAAGTTCTACTGTATTTTGATGATCAAATAGAGAACTATCTCTTTGCTGAATCATACTTTATGTCACTTTTCATGAAATGTATAAGATAGATGACACCGTAAAATTTAAATTGTAAAAAATCTGTAACAGGTATGAGGTATCCCTTCAAAAGAAAAAAAAAAGAGTAATTAATAGATTCCCAAAAAAATGGTTAGTGGTCTTCCATTGTTGTTTCACTTAACAGAGTCACTACCTTGAATGCGAAATAATTGACTTCATACATACTAGCTGATCACACCCGAACATGCATGTGCCTAAATTAAATCGGTTAAAGATAATTTATTTTTTATTATTAGTTTATCTATATCTAATCGGTTCTTACTTTGAAAGGCAAAATAAGAAAGTATACATAGCTGTTGGATGGAAAATTAGTGAACTACTAAGCAATACTTTTTAGCCTAATACAAAGAGAACTGGGCTAAAAGAAATGTCTACTTCTTTTTTACCTCTGCCCAGGCTCAAAAATGACTAATTATTTTGTTTGCAAGTTACGTCTAAATGTGGCTGAGGAAGAAATCAAAGGAAATCAGGGACACCTTTAAAGATCGACACTATATATGGAATAACAGTCCGAAACAACATGAGACTTCTTCTTCCTCTTAAGGTACAATGGCGTACATTACTGAGTATATCCCTGAATCTATCACTTATGAAAACAAAATACAAATGGCAGTGCCTCGAACTTAATATAAGAAAGATAGTCTTACTTATACAATGAGATGCTAGTTAAATGGAAAAATAAAAAGTTAGAAAATTTTAATTTTGTTTTCATTGTCGAATTCCACAACTAGCATTTCACGTCGATGACACTGAATTGGTATGGAGAAATGTTAGAATACTCGAAAGATATAATTTCACCTGGCTCAATTTTATCACCATTCTTAACAAGGCAATGGCCTTGGTCCAAACGGCGGAAAACCAAGGGATTAACCAAATTTGCGGATGCAAAATCTTCACATGTGATTTCAACGTCAAAAACGCCATCCACTTCTTCGGCTTCATTGATGATTTGGACGATGTATTTTGGAATGTTCAGACTCGTATAACCCGAAGAAGATTGATAAATCCTAATATCACTTGGACTGCATCTTCTTGAATTGTAACTGCTTGTATTCCAACCTGCATATATGTTAAAACACATAAATTATCTTCAAAACCAAAAAGGGGGGAAAAAAGGACATTACAATTTGTAAATTGTTTGATGCTGGTTGAGATTCATACATGAAGTTCCGAAGGGAAGAAGGAAGAAAGAAAATAAAAAGGCGAGAAACCCACACGAGGAAGCTGCCATGTTTTTTAGTGAATTGGAAAAGTGAAGAATGAAATCTTTCTCTGTGTGTGTGTGTGTTTATAATGTGAGTTAGAGATGTGTCTGGTTAGGGAAAAAACAGATACGTTCTGGAATATTAGCATATATGCCACAACAAACGTGGTTCTCGACTCAATGTAATCATTATTATTTCATCTCCTTTTTTGGTTTCTTTTTGAAAAAATTTCAGTGTCATTGAATGAAGGTTGGTCAAGGAAGACTTATTAATTTTTATATGATTATTTTTGAAAGAGTGATAAATTGAAACTCATCACTTCAACGATTTGTTTGAACGAACCTTCATCAATTTGTTTAAATTCAAACTTTTTGCACATTTGGACTATATATGAACAATAAGAAAATCTTTTTTCGTCCCAAAAAAATAGTCTATGGTATAGTTTATAAATTGTACTGATCACAAGTTATATTGTTTTTTTTTTTTTTGGACATAAACAAATTTAGTTAATTTATTATATCACTTGTAACTACAAGGACAAAGTTGGAAGTCATGAAAACCCGATCAACCCTTCTCACTACACACTAAAGTAGTTGTGGAACTAAATAAATGTTCAAAAGACCTGTTAAATTAGTTAATTTTTTGGACGGAAAGGATATATATTATGTAGTTTTATGTGGCGTCGAGCGGCAATTAGTTTTTCTCCAACAACAAAGAAAGACATTAGTATCACACAATCAGATGCACGTCAACGTCCTAGCCAGTTGTTACATGGAGATAATAATTCCCGTTACTTTGAGAGGAAATAACAATTAGGTGTGAGTTTGTCTAGTGTAATTCAAACACCAACTTTTGTGAAATCATTATTGAATTTAGGAAAATATAGTACAGTTGCAATTTCAATTATGTTTTTTTTTTCAAATTTTTCTTTTTCTACTCTACATTACACGTTGCAAAGAGTAAGCAAAAAAAAATTCCCAAATACAGCGCAATTTATACTTGGTAGCTCATGTGTATGTTATCTCTCAACAAACTGATAATTACATAATCAAGATAAAATTTAAGAAATATCCATTACAACTAAACTGATAAAGCATCATCAAGATTAAAATTTATTAACAATATGATAAGTAAAGATAAAACCTAACAATCCACCTAATCCTAATCAACCATTGATTCCACAAACTAATCGATCCAAGGTCAATGCTTGCAGTTGATCCTCCAACCTTCGTTTCTCCATCCGGCAAAACTCGAACTCCGTTGTTGATTTCATCAAATAGGCTTCTTTTGCCCTTCAATCCACATCGCTGATGGCTTTCTTAAGTCGCTCAGTTTCTCTTTCCAATGCTTTCTCTTCCAGAAACGCCATGTCCCTTGATGGCCTTTTCTATACACGAGACTAATTCATTTAATAAAGCATGTGATACATTAGTAAATAACTAGATGTTAAACCCATGCATTACACAGCTAATTTCACCCTCATCTTTTCTTTTTTTATACACAAATATTGTCATCCTGTTACTAATAATTTTGTCGTGACAAATCACATGTACTAAAAAAGAAGAAATACGATCACAAATGAGCCAGCTATGTTTACTTACTATTTTACATCTATGTTATGCTGTTGCTCATACTTTCTTGCTGATCAGCTTCTTCCTCATTTGTAAATCAACTTCCAATAGATCAGTAAATGTGGGTTCTGACGTCGACAACTTTCTATTGACGTGTATGCAAACCTCCTCCCCTCAGGTTGATTAGCTTCTTTTGTCACTCTTGAACATTTAGAGGTCCTAACCCTGTTTTTGTTCCGGCCATCATCCACCTCTTCTTACACCAGCTGTTTTGTTAATGAAATATATATTATATTGTGATATAAGTTATGTAAGGGCAATGATGTTTAGCTTTGTACTGATTTACTTGGTATGCCTATAAATGATGGAATATATTGAGCAAAATGAAAATTCCACGTGTAACATCATCATTGTTGAAAACACTTTGAATTTCGGATCATGGATTATTCACCATTGTCTCATTTTAAATGCTCTTTAATACTGGATTTTTGCATCCTGTCTCCGCCGTTTATAGCGCGAAGAGCTTTAAACTCAAACATGTATCTTGAATGGTGTACTTCTGCATGATCATTGAGCATTTAGTGTAAAAGTGCAGAGTTAAACACTATACCAAAAAATAAGTCTAAACTCAGATCACCCAATCTAGTAACTATCAAACTTTGCAATAATATTGGAAAAAGAAGCAACACAGGTGATATAGTTATTCTTCTCTGTGTGGAGGAGAACACATTTGCAAGAAACACAACAAAAATGAATCAGAAATTAATAAAAGAATGGATAAGCAAAAAAAAAATTATTACAGTTAACAAATACTAATAATTTATTCTTTCCTATACTTACTACATGAGATCAAGGCGGTGGGTGAAAAAACTTTCGGAACCGTTCTTTTAGTAGTAAAAGTAGTAGACACGGTGATGGGGAGGAATGAAAATCTCTTTATATATACAAAAAATGAAGGCATCAATACTTGTAGTAAATGTGCACATATGATAGAATAGGTATATGTTTTAAAAAATTTCCAATTGAATGGCGTAGCTATTACAGAATTAATAATCTAGATAAATCCTAATTTGAGTCTGTTATGACTTGAGATAGGATGGACAACTAATTATGTTTATTCAGATTACATTTTCAATTTTCATCTTTATTTTCTCCTAGATTTTTGTGTAATAACATTAGGCAAGTAGGGTAATTATTAAATAGTAAATTAATCTAAATATTTGTTTTGAAAAATATCTTTATAAACGGATCAATAAAGAATCGGTAATACCTAGCTAGCTACTTGTCTATTATCTTTTCTGCTTCTTCAATTTCAATTTGTTGAACCTCATATTCCCACCATTGTATGCCAGTGTGGGGAAAAAACATATTCAGTCTTACTTTATAAACCTAGGAAAAGAGAGAAGAGTGATCAGAGACTATCAATCAAGAGTACATTCATCATGAGAATATAGAGTCAACCCGAAAATGTAATCAACAATTTCATTTTGACTCAAAATAATTTAGTCTTTATATGCAATCGCAATCTTTTTTATTAATTCATCCTAAGAGCTGCGCATCAAAGCAAATAACCACTATGAATGAATGATCTTGTTCTAGCGGAATTATATATGAGATTTTCTAGGCATGATATTTTTTTATCCAAAAAAGCAAAATGTATGTACCTGCCTAATTTTGAGAAGCAAGCATGCATTTTATTTTGCAATATTCAAATTATTAGTTTATACATGTCAAAACAAATGCAGAAAAAGGGAAATCTTTGACATGATGGAGAAAGACTAAAAAATTAAAAGAAACACTTCCCACATGCATTATAAAATCCCATCAGGTCCACGTTTTCAATCACCTATAAACGTGGAAACTTATCAGATAATGTGCCATATATAACTTCAATTAAGATAAGATTATCATTCAAATTAATTGTAAAAGCAATAAATCAGAAAGGATCTATGTAAACAAAAAAGATATATATATATATATATATATATATAAGACTAAAACTTACTCATCTGCCATTACCGGACGCTTTATTATGAACTCAATCGAATGGCTCCATTTGTTGGTTGGAGAAGGAAGATGTCATATTTAAATTAGCGGAATGAAATTATCATCGCCTCTCTATACATAGCTCTGCAAGCACGCATTAAGGTTTATTATTGTATGTGTATATATTTTTTAAAAAAAATACTTTTTTTCATCGTGTAAGATATGGATCAAATTAGTTACATTGATTGATGATATGAATTATTTATTAATACTTAAAATTTAATGATAAGATTACTACTAGTTTGATGATTGAAGATCAACGAATCAAAGATAAACAAACAAATTATTCAAGATTACCTTGGTGCCATTAGTTTCGATTGAAAGAGATTGACCATCAATAGATTTCAGAAACTCAAGATCTTCCAAAGGTCATGGCTCTACCCAAGAATTTAGTAGTTATTTTGATGAAACCCGTCAATAAAAATAAAGAAATTAACAAAAAACAAACACAAAACATATATCCTAACAAAGCCAGCAAGAGATACATAGCAGTGGCGGAGTCAAAAAATCAATATTGAGAGTGCGAAATTTAGACAAAACTACTAATAACGTTAGGGAATCAATGTAGGGGGTGCAAAAAATTATTGAACACAAAGTTTCTATTGAAAATTTAGGATATCTCTACTAAGTACAAAAAGTTAAGCAGGTGCGACCGTGCCCGTCGGTCCCCCCTAGCTCTGCCACTGATACATAGGTTAGTGCAAACCCAAAAATATCATTGTCAAAATGTTTAATGAGGGATTGAAGTAAAATGTTCGAATAAATATAAGCATAGAGTAAGGAATACATTCATAAGCCTCTCATTACACTTATTGTACTAACCTGATGAAGAATCAACTTGGAGATAATCTCATCAACCACAATAACAATGTTTATACTTGATAATTCTAATCAAAGAGAGTGAAAAATAATAGATCTTTGTATACATGAACGAATTACAAGTCGAAATTCCTACCATCAGCTTCAACATCATTGCTCCTTTCAGTCTCGCTGATTCGATTAAATTCCCTCACATGTGGTGCAAGCACAATATTGGGGTTTGTGCCTTTGGCTAAATCATATAAACTTATTGGGATTTGTTTTGACGATTTGATGTGATCAGATATGATTTGTTTTATCATTAACAATCATACTGTTTAGTTTATCTAATCTAATTTTTAAATGGTAACTGTGTTCTTTTTTTCAAAAAAATTATATTACCAATGATATAAAATTAAAAAAAATGACATGTAGGATTTATTCCTATGTGTTAAGTGGAAAACGACCCCAGTTTCCTCTCTCTGGGTTTTCCCTTACTAAGTTATATAGATTTGATGTCATGATGAATAAGAGAAAAATGCCTTTCAACACTTTTTGATGCTAAACAATACCTATAAATAGAAATGTGAAACTGGTTTACTAGATTAATTTTATCAGATTCGTTGAAATAAATTTTGAGCATTTTGAAAATAAATAAAGGAAGATAAGTTTAAACTCTAAAGGATTTTGATA